GGATGAGTCGATGCCAGGCCAGAGGATTTCCAATGAAAATGATATTTCACCCACACAAAATTTTCGTGATTCTGAGGCGTCCGGTAATTCTTAGTTACTTCAGTGTTTTATCACCACACAAGTTAAAGAATCTGAATTTCGCACGCTTTCCAAGAGATATTTCATCTTTCAAGTAAGACCCCGAATCTGAAGGGATGTGAGGTACACGGCGCATCCGAGAAAGGGTCTAGTTGTTGCGCGCGCTTGAACTACGGCTCCTTGGACAAACAACCTCAATTCAGGAACAATCGAGAGAATTCTGAATGTGTCCGTGCGCATTTACAGGGAGGTGTACACCATTCAACATTGCGTTAACGGACTCTTCAGGGTTAAATTTATAAACATGTAACCTTTAAAGTTGAGAAACGCTAATCAATCACTTTTCTTAGAAAGAAAAGCAGTGATTCCAAATCTGCTCTTACTTTAGTACATAATCGCCCTTAAAAGGATATACAGCCGTTGAAATAGTGCCAATGTAGCGAAAAAGTACCTTTCGGCGGTACTCGTGCGAAAATCCTCAACGTAGCCGTTTTTTTAATACTGGACGTTTGGAGCAGTTCTAGCTAGCATTTGATAGAGCAAATCTTCTAGTTTCTGATGGCGTATTCACTTTTCGGATTGGATGAGTTTGAACGGAGTTATGGCTTTAGGAAATAAAAAAACTCGCACTCATCACAAATTTTCCTCGTTAATTTTGCAGAAATCCTCAACGTGGCCATTTTTTGAATACTGGACGTATAAAGCTGCTTTAGCAACGGTTTGGTAGAGAAAATCTTCTAGTTTTGTCTGCCATATTAACTTTTCGAATTTGACGAAAATGAAGCAAGTTGTTGCTTCGGAAAGTGTAAAAACTCGTGCTCGTCTCGAATTTTCCTCGTTATTTGATCTAAATTTGTTATTTCTTATAACTTCCTGTAATTTCAGTACTGATTAGAAAAAGCTCTTCACAAAACTTCCAAATCTGCTTTCAGATTGAAAATTCGTCATATTTGAAGAAAGTTATAATCATTTGAATATTTGTTCAAATTTCAATAGTAAATAAGCTGCTCCACGGTCAACGCCAAAGTCCCAGTCAACACACAGCTGGCGAAGGCGGTTAAAAAGCTTCTTTCAACTGAAGGGCTACGTGCAAATTGAGAACCACAATCTGTGTAGTACTAGAATTTGGTAAGTCTTGTGGAGGAAATAAATAAAGAAGAGATGTTGTCATAGTATGCCATTTTTAGTGGCTAGTTTGTCGTTTTCTGGTCTGTTTCTCGTTTGCTCGTTTGGTAGGACTCATCAATAATGATTATTCTTTGACTTTTTCACTTTTGTACTTCTTAAACGAATTTTTTTGTGGGCGGTGGGGTAGCAGGGCTTTTTTATGAGCAGTTTTGGGGGAGAATTAAACAAGCTTTTCAACCTTTTCATAGTTCGGCTTTTGAAGAGGGTTGTTTCATGGACTTCGGCCTCCGGCGGAGGGTGGGGGGTCGTATTTCCAAATTTTCCTCAACGCCTCGCTTGACCCTGTCAGTCTCTCATCTCTCGTAATCACGCCTTCCAAAAACCCCTTTCGGTGCGGGCAAAGAAGGAGAAACTGACAAATGGGTACCCGCCTGAACCGCGTGCTATCGGTCAAGACATGAGGGAATCCATTGAGTCACCACTTTCCTGTGGCGAGGTCGTGAAGGGGACCGAGGACTGTGGGATGGGTGCACCCGAGTCTTATCACAAGGCTGCGGGTGCTAACGTCCGGATCCTCTTCGACAGCGCCGAGAACGGTGGAGTCTTCCACCTTTTGTGGGCTTCCCAACCTTGTCTTTTCTTTGAAAGCCGTGTCTCCTCCTTCGAAGCCTGCGAACCAGAGCTTGGCACTGATGATGGAAGTGGTGACCCTTCCCAATGCGATGCTGATAATGTTGACGGTTCCCACTGCTCCTGTGCCGCAGCGCCATTTCATTGAAGATGATCGCTCGAAAGTGTTCTTGTGGAATCACCATCATTATTAAAGTTAAAGAAGCCTCGCCCTCTTGTAGAATTAAAGTCCCTCCATTGCTGCAACGCGTGCTATGAATTTCTGTGGCACATACACAAACAAACAGACATGGCGATAGTACGTATATTCGTTTCCGTTTGATAACTAGGATCGTGAAGGCTAGCAAATCTGGTAAAATAACAAGTTGTGTGGGCAAACCTCACGATCAGGACCACTACTGTTCATAAAAAAGAAATTCTGCAAACGAAGAAGAAATCCTCTTTTTTAAATTAATGACTAATCCACTGTGCTGGCAGGCATCAGAGAGACAGGACATTATGTGCCGATGAGAGAAACAGGCTCGGAGCATGCGTGTATAACAAAAAACGAATCCCACAGGCGAGATTCGTGAGGAGAGGTGTAATCTGCGTGTGAGCTTCTTGCGCACTTGGTCGCACCTTCAAGTAGAGTCATAGCATATCCATGACCTCCTTGAGCAGTTCGATGCCTTTCGAAGGTTTGCTCGATTGAAGAATTTTCAAGAAAAAAGTTGGCACAAGGGGAGCGTTGGGGAGGGGGAGAGTTGCCACCATTATGTTATCGTTGGTGATGTTGCTCAATGCTAGACTAAGTTCCCATTTCACCATGGGCAGGATGACCGCCTTCGCAACACCTCCTCCTGAAAACGGGGACGATCCCTTTTTGTCCTTCGCACATTCGGTTTCTTAAAAATGTTAAATTTATTTTTGTTGGATGTATGGGAGGAATTTAGCATTCCTATGATGACTTTTATGTTGGATATTGCGACTTAAAGCAGCATTAAACGAAACAGAACCAGTTGAGGTCAAAAACATCTCTCGGATCGTAACCTGAAAACGGATTACCTTGTGATTAAACGAGAGAGACAATGAGAGAAGAGCAGAAACAGAAGAAGAACAAGGGATATACTCCTACTGGAAGTGGTATAAAAGTAAGCGTGGTATAAAAGAAACGGAGTACGGTCTACGATTGATGAACATTAGCGTTGCAGTATAGCGGCGCTAACTACCCGCGATCGCGTCGCGCGCTGTGCCTAGAGCGCGCTAGTTGGAAAAATCGTCAAATGTACCCCCTATTTAAAGGACTATAACTTTCTTCATTTCGAAGTAGTGAAGGCATTTTTTGAATGCACGAAGACTTCTAGTTTCTGAATTGTGCTGAATGTTTTCCCAAGCTCGTCTCTTCTCGCAACGCTTTGAACATCGGAGACAAGCGTTGTAAGGCAGAACATTAACGCTTTTTATGCAGTTGTTTCAAACGCTTTCTAGTTCGCGAGAAATCTGCGTCGAGGAAATGTCAAGGAAATTTTCGAAGCCACTCGAAAACTCTATTACTCCCTCGCCGTAGTAGGGAACTTCTTTGAACACCTTCAAAATACTTCTGTACACGTCAGTTCGATGGAGTAAATTGAAAATGATGCACTTGGCGCAGATCCATTCCGTTCTTGTATGCGCCATGCAGTGACCCCACTCGGAGTCATTTGGAAGTTTTGTCTACACTACGAGTTACCTAAAACCTAAGGCATACCTAAAACCGTTTCTAGTTCTTGCTAATCAGGAAACTGTTTTGGTCATAGTGATGTCTGATCATTCCTTTATTCAAATCGCTTCCTTTCCAACCCTGTTGATGAATGACTTGCGGTTGCAGGATCTGATGATGCCAAGAAGGCTGAATCTGCCTGTTTTGAACTTTCTACCAAGATGCTGTTCCTCCACTAAGTTCTCGAAGCATGTACATCATTCTAGAGTAGATACTCGCTGCCCTTTCCCTACGATTCTTTTGCAGGACGCGTTGCCTTCCTATGCCATACTGATCACTACGAACCAAACCAACAACCACTTTCCATTTGAATTTTAATTCCAGACAGTAAGATATTATTTGCATTAGGCTAACTACAACACTTGTGAAAGTAATGATGACAGCAAATAAGTGGCAGCAGCACCGTTGTGTCCGTTGATGAACCTTTTGATTACGACCCCCTCCCACTCTCATCGGAGCAAATACGACCCCCTGTCGAGGAGGTTCCTCGACTGTTATCCAACCTGATCCCTGGTCATCAAATTATGTCTAATTGTGTACGCAAATGCCGACACAAGACTTCGGCTCGTCCCACCACTTGCAATCATTGCACACGGGAAATACGCAAACGATTGGTTT